TACAAGCCTGGCCAAGGCGAGACTGCCCTTGCGGAATCCGCCATGCCCCACCCAACACAGACCGCCATCCTGGTAGTTTGCAGGGCGGAGATCGGATCGAGAAGTACTGATACGGTTGGGACTTCCGACTAGTTTCTGTCTGCGCTAGTGTCATTTGTTTGGGGCCTCAAGGTCAGCTCTCTTCCGAACGCCGACTCTCAGAGCTTGACCAATCTCGTGAGAGCCGCCGTGCAACGCTGATGGGTTCATGAGCTAGGGGCACACCCGAGCTCCATCGCGCACACCCACTTGCGCTGCCGGGATTGAAGATCAAAACCTCTGGATCGGGGCAAGTGAGCACTGAGCGAGAAGCTCCAACAATGCGACCTGCTGCCCAACTGTACCGTGCAGCTGTCAGCACGATGAGAAAGTCTTTGAGCGGCGCGATTGCGGCGTGTTGCAAGGGTAGTGCGGGTCTGGTTAGAGGGCATGACTTAAGCTTGTTCCTGCCCTGTGAGCCTTGCATGCCACAGTGGTGGAACCCTCGCACCCCTTCGCGGCCTTGTTGTGCTTGGCGCCGGTGATGGAAAAGCAAGCGAACCCCCGCTACCGGCTTGTGGCCCTCCGGTCACTTGGTCCATACTCGCCAGCATTGATGGCCAATCGTGGTGGATGTCGAGTGCGAATGGTTTAAACAGATATTTTCGTAGCTGGGGAATGTCTCCTCTCAGTGGTACCAGCCTGTGGGATGGATGAGAGCTGAACTTTGGCGACGGTGAGGGCCGCGGCTCTGAGGTTGCGGCAGCAGCCAGGCTTGCCAGGGAAGGTGGGTGGATCTGCAGCCCTGTGAGAGCATGGCGACGCGAATTGACTTGCGAAGTTCCATGAGGGGCGGCGGGGTGTGAGTGACACTGGGGTCCGCGCAGGAACGGTCCCTGGGTTGCAGGGGCCGGATTTGGCCTAGCATTGTGCCCTTCAGCTCGCTCTGAGCCTCTTGGGGAGTGCCGTCAGCGCCCACAGCATTTCCTGGGGAATGAAACATGCCACGGCACGGGCGGATCGGCGCCTCGCATCCCCCCGTGGGCCCGCGAGGCCTCTTGATTGAGAGGTTGCAGCGTCGAGTCTGGTCGTTTGCTCGCCGGCTCGTTGCTGGCTTGTCGTCGTGGGTCGCTGTAGTTGGCGGGCCTTGTGTCCGCATTGCGCTCTCGGTTCGAGTTGGTCTCATCATTCTTATCCACAAATGCGCGTCCGGATGTCCGAACATGGTCACTAGGTAAATACCTAAGGTAGTTAGGTACCGTGCAGTCTTAAGATGCACTGTGTCAGCCCAGGCCTGTCATCTTTGAGACAAGCCTTAGCGCGTATCTGGTCGAAGACTTGACTTGAAGATCACGGGGGCTGCAGGACGCATGTGGGTTGCTGATGCACGACCGACAGTCTTCGCATCGGGCTGGCTACAGGCGGCGGGTGATACGTGCATGCGTCTCCTCTGGTGCATCACAGCACAGAAGCGGGGGGTTTTCCTGCGTCTGATGTCAGAGCGCATTCCAGCCCTGCCGAGTGCTCGGCTCCTTGCACCGAAATTGGCTCGCTTTGTTGAGATTTCGGTGCGATTATTTTCCAGGTTCGGATGGTTGCACCCCGGACGCGCATTGCCGACCCGCAGCAGGCGTTGTGTGGAAGAAATCTTCAGGTGTTGTGGAAGAACCTGGAAAAGAAGTTTGGGGCCGACAATTTCCACTTGGCAGGGCACCCTCACAAGGCACTGCGCAGGGAAGTTGCGGAAATGGGAAGCCGAGACAGACAGGAGGGATTCAAAGAAGGAGGGGTTCACGGGCGAGTGCCCTGCTGTTGAGGGTGGTGGGGCTCGACTTGGGCTGTTGCACCGCCGCTGGCAACTTCCTCAACCGCTCGTTACCCTGGGAGTTTGACGAGTCGTCCCATCAACAAGAATCCGATAGCTGGAAGGGAGGTGTGCATCCGTTCACACTCGGCCAATTCCCAGTTCGGAACGGGCCCTGCGGTGTTTACGCCGCAGGCACAACGGTTTTTGTCGAAAACCTGTTGACAGTTTTCAGGTTCCCTTCGATCCAATTCATTTTTTACCCCAGCCATCAATCCCCGTTCGAGATTGATGCCCGGAAGTAAACGCAACAAAAAAATGCAGCCACATACCTGCAGTACGCCATTCTTACGTGCAGCCATATGCGGCTAGGCATCTTGTCCAACGGCTGCTTTGCTCAATCTAGATTCAACATCGACGCGCGGGAAAAACGACGCGGGATTTCTTTTCGTTGTTCGTCGTGGTCATCCGCTGCTTGTTGAAACGCCGTGGACCAACGGTTACAAGGGCACCTCGGAGAGTTGGGACGGCTTACTCTCAACATCCTTCGCTTTCTTCGTAGGCCACCCCCTCCTCCCCCCGCCTCCCCGATCATGGCACACACCTGCCGTGGAGGATCCCGCTGACAGGAAGCGTTGCACAAACGAGGAATCATCCCCAGCGCCCCGCTCTCGTTTCTCAGCCCTACGAACCAAACCCCTGCCGCCCCACTTAGACCCCTGTTTAGGGATGGACCCTAGTATTCTGCCCTTGAAGCGAAAGCGGCTCTTGCTCGCAACAAGACCCTAAGAAGATTAGAACGCGCCGACGAGGGACCTTGAATCAGCCAGGAGGAGGACGAGTGGGTTGACCGTGGCAGCGCGGGACCGTGAGAGTTTGGAGACCACTGAGCATGATTGTTTCGGCATTGGATCAACTGGTGCCATCTCCGAACAGGGTCATTTCGTTGGCGCAACGCCGGGTGACGCCGTCGCCGATGTCGTTGACCGCCAATTTTGTTTCCCATTTCGGCATTCAATCCCGTGACAAGCGTCCAGGTTTTGCGTTTCGCTACTTGCGATATTTTCATCAGTTTGACGGGAAAACTTGTTCCTCGCGTTCGGGTCCCGCTGTTCAGCTTGCGAAGGAGACCGCCATTGAGGCGACTCTCGTTTCGGGCCATTGGTTGGTCGGCCGCGCAATCACTCAGCTCTCACGGGCTTGCGCGCCACAGGTCCCACTGGCCCCCCCACCCCCTGTACCCGCCACTTGACGCCAACTTCATCAAAACTTCGTGTCCTTGTTTGAGCTCGTCACCTTACGCTTTCAGCGCGTTTATTGTGGCTGCCGTCCAGCGGCCCATATACGACGCGGCGGCCGGAAAAGTCGAGGAGAAGAGCGGAACTTCCCTGTGGTAACCCGTCTGAACCCGTCCAATATCGTGCTGACCTCTGGTCGCCGCCGCAAGACCTGCGCATCCTGTTGCGCGCCTCGTGACGAGTTGCATGGCTTTCCACCGCGATATGAATGGCCAGGATACGTTGTCCAGAATCCCGAGCCAGCCGGGGTTTGGGAGTCTTGTTGGCCGGGCGGCGCGGTCTCCGCCTTGGATAGCCTGGCCACGACCTCGTTCCATGTCATCTCGAGCCGGAACACCACAAGCTGAGTACTCCAGGAAAGAGCTCCACCTTAGCATTGAACATTGAGGCTGAGCAAAGCAATAGTTGCGTAAGACTCCGACTTTTTGCCATACAAGCAGGCTCGGCAGACCGGGCTGGCCTCCATAGCCGACCTTCAGCCGCGTAGCGTGAGGCTCAACTGGGGCAACCTCGTGGTCCTTCCACTTCGCGAATCCGTCGCGAATCAGTCGCCAACTTTCCTCAAACACGAAACCTCGGGCGAGATCCTTTATTGCCATGCCTTCTGGCCAGCCATGCTCGGCAGCCAACCTCAACCAACCAACCATTCGATGTTAGCCTACCGGGACGCAGTTGCCGCAAGCTCCTGTGCGGTGGCGGACATGGGTGGATCGTCTTGTTTTTGCAAGACCATTGGTTGATGGACAGGACGCGAGGTCCAGTGAAGCAGTTTTGAACCACCGCGACGGCCGCGTGATGGGTCCCCGAACTGGATCTCGTCCATGAAAACAGGCCGGGAACATCGGAACTCGAGCCTGACTGGCAACCGTCCTGCTCCGCGCCAACGGGTGGGTGCCCTCGAATGATCAGGGCTATGGGTTGTGTCATGCAAGCAATCTGCACATTCAGGCTTGGTACCGATGTTAAGGGCACTTGTCCTTGGGTACCGGTAGTAAGGGCAATTGTCCTTGACATATCATTCCGAGACTGCTTCGGTTTTATCTTATCAAGGCGACGATAGGCCTAGACTTGCAAGGAAAGGGCGGATCAAAGGCGACTGCCGGTGGAGCAAGCTTTGGCCTGCGCCGCTGCGGCCCACGAAAGACTGACAGAGTGACTGGTGGTGCTGAGGGAGGACGATCTCACTCATTGGATACACCCCCCTCCCTAAGACCACAACACCACGGCGTCCCGCTTTCCTGATATTTCCCTCCCCGTCCCGTCCCCCCCAGACAGACGCACCTCGACGGCGCGCCGACCTCGCGAAAAGCAAGTCCGACCGCCCCGACCGACCCAATGCCGGATGATCAATGGCAAGGGCCGAGCCCAATCGATCAACGTGACGCGGTCGCGAAGAGGGGGGAGAGGAGGCTCGGGAAGTCCTAGCAGGGCCCGACCCTCTCCTCTCCCTTCACCGCTGTTCATCAATAAAGCGGCTGTGCCACGTCCGCTCGGCCAGCCTGGGCCAACTATTGCTTGTCGTGGATCCCGAGCCTTGGTATGTACGGTGCGTGGAGAGATAATGAAGTGATCATCGTCCAGGACTTGAGGCAGAGGCAGGGAGCGCGCCGGGTACAGGATACGGGTCTGGGCCCGCGACTAGCGAGGATGAGCGGTTGGCTGTCGAGCTCCGGCTGTACGAGGTACGAGGGCCGATTCGCCACCGGCGGCGCGGAAAGGAGCTGCTCTCTGGGATGCGTAGTGTAGTGTTGCTTGGCCAGACCAGCGGTCGTGGATCGAGGATGTGTGGGTGTCTAACTTACGCAGGTCGTGACCGCGCCTTAGTAACCACCGACGGGGCATGTGCGAGCGAGGGAGACGGGAGTTGGACTCGCGTGACGTGCCATTTCTGCTCGAGTTATTGACTACTAAACTTCGACTTGACCGCGTGAAACACATCGTAGTGCAAAACAACAAACAAGAAACAGGTTATCTCAAAGTCGTCCACGGGTATGCATGTATCGCATGTCGGCCTTCGCCCAACGAAAACAGTAAACAATCCCTGTGCCCAAAGACGAGGAGCAAACAAAACCCAACCGTAATAAGCGTAACGCCAGATCCTAACAAGTTTCCTTGCATCCACAACGAAAAGAATGGAAGAGAAAATAAAACAAAAAACAGTGAATCCCGAGCCCAAATCCCAATATAACTGCTACTTTTACCCGCCCAGTCCTCTGAAGACGTCAGAGGACGACAGACACCAAGACCAACCACATAAACAACTGAACCTCCGCGTGCTGAGTGATCCCAATCACCGCATCCATCGGGCGAACGCATGGGTAAGACACCAAGCAACCGACTTCGCAGCCAAATAGGCTGCCTCAAAAAAGGAGGGCAAAACCAAAAAAAAAAAAAAAAAAGAGACAAAAGACGCATCATCAACCGCCCTTAGGTAATCAGGGGTCAGGTCATGCACCCCAAGCACAGCCACCCTCTCACGACCCAAGCAGACTGATCCCACAATCTCTGCACTACAAACCCGAGACCTCGACGCCCAAGCCAACAGGCACAGCCACGGGCAGCCCCGCCGAAGCGGCCGCGCCCTCAGCGGCCACGCCAGCCGGCCCCGCGGCTCCCTCCGCGCCAGCCAGCACGTCCGTCTCGTCCTCCATCATCTTGATCATATCCTCGAGGTTCTCGTCCAGCATCTCCTGGTCCTCGGGCGGCAGGCACGACTTGAGCAGGTGCAGGTACTTTTCGATCTTCTCGCCCGTGCCGGTCAGGCCGCGGGCCTCGACATACTCGGCCTCAGCGCGGCGCTGGTCCTGCAGGAGCGTGCGCAGCTCGGTGGCCAGTTCGAGGCGTTCCTGCGGGTCGAAAGGGCGGCTTCTTGTCGGAGGAGCCGTCCGGCTTGGATTCGGTTTGGCCGTTGGGCTTTTCGCTGGGTTTGCTGGTGTCGCCGTTGACGGTGGCGAGCTCCTTGCTGATGGCGACCTGTATGGCTAGGCGGTTCTGATGGGTAATATAGGCGAGTACTTGTTTCGCCGTCTCGGCGGCCTCGACTTCTGTCTTTGCGGCCGCCTCTTCGGCTTCGACGCGAGATTCCAGGTCTGCGATGTTGGTTTGCAAGTTTGCTAATTCTGCCTGAGTGTTGAGAAGGATGCGTCTTGCCTCCTTTTCTGCGCTTTCCTTCTCGTCCAGCTCGTTCTCGTAGCTTTGGGCAAGGTCTTGGAATTTTTGCAACACAAGAGGGGTGATCCGTGATTGCACGGTATTTGCCGCCTCGCTCCGGAAGCTTGCCTGAAGCTTAGTATCGGACTCGGCGATAGCATCGCGGAAGGCATTGTGTCGCTGCGATTCGGGCGCGAATGGACTAGATGAGCGCTGTGGTGGTCCTCGGGAAACTTTCGTCTTGGCATCGTTGAGTTTCTTGATCAGGTCCTCCGCTCGCACTCCCTGGTTGTTGGGGATATCGGTTGATGCGCCACGACCCAAGAGCGCCCGGATGCATTTCCGCGCATCCCGCATGGCGGCCAAATGCACCGCCGTATTACCTTCGTTATCCTGAGAGTCCAGCAGTTGCTGCAGCTCATCTGCCGACCGCGACTCTTGCAGCTTGTTGAGAATATTGTCCAGGTAGTAGCGCGAACACGAGTGGCTGGTAACGCGACCGCTCTTCATGACGGTTGCGTGGTGGATGACAGTACATCCTAACGCGTCCCGCGCATCCACAGTGCTGAACAACTCCTTTAAAACCATGGGAAACGTCTGCTTTTCGTAGCAGTTGGTAAAGTTTACGGACCGCATGAACGGCGTCTCGCCGCGGACATTTTGAGATGCCAGGTCCGCGCCAAACCGCTTGAGTTGCTTGATCACTTCCACATCACCCATAGCAGACGCCCAATGCAACGCAGTGTGCCTCTCGGTATCAATGGGCCAGTCGGGCTGGAAATTTGTCGGTGGGTCGGGCCGGATTGCGGGTTGCTCGTTTCTAGAGAGCAGGAAATAGTCCAACAACTCGTCGCCGTACACAGCATGCTGCTGTTCCGTCATATCCTGCAACATCTCTTCTCGCTTCCGCTTCCTGTGGCCGGTGGAGAAATGTGACATGTCGTAGCGGTCGTCCTCGGCCATATAAGACGCCGAGGCAACGGTCAGGTTATCAGGGATATCATCCTCGTTGATCTGGCTCGTATTGTCGTACTCTTCTTGCACAACAACGGGAGGGTGCGGGTGTGAGAAAGAGGGTTTCCGGTCTTGGGCCTTGTTCCATTTCGGAACGGCAGGCCGAGCCTTGGGGGCCTTCGGTTTGCTGGCATGCCTCGGCGCAGGCGGCGGGCTCTCGTTCCCTGGTTGGAATTCGAAGATGGGCCGTAACCGGTCGTATATGTTATTGCGCTGAGCCAGCGCCCGGCCTTGTTCTAGGGGAATCCATGTCCCTAAAGTAAGGGGTCAGTAACTAAGGGTCGACAGGCTTGAGAAGCGGGATATGGCGCACCTTGGTACTTCCCGTAGCCACCCTGGATTTTTTCGTGAACATCTTTTTGCACGTCGCGCTCAAGGATGCGCGTTCTCGCCGGTTTGTCAAAGCCGGCAGCCTTCAAGATGTGGGTGGCATTGATCCAATTGTCTTCTCGGCGGCGCATTACATGCTCCTTCATATCAGGGCCAAACTGGTATTCGTAGACGGGGATCTGCAGCAAACAGGGTGGTTAACACCAGGGGAAGAAAGTGGTAGACCGGGGACGCAACACCTACACCGCTGTACGTGGCGCTGTATATCCCCGCCTTCGGGTGGTCGGCGGCCATCCTGACGATTGGATGGAGCTTGTTACGCAAGGGTTCGGGGTGTATATGGTGGAGATGCGAGGGTTGCGTATGGTTCACAGGATTATGAGGGAGGTTGGCAATGACGACAAAAGTTGAAAGGTTGGGGCGTTGTTGGGAGGAATGAAAGATTGAGGGTTGGTGTTGCGCAGTTGGCGATGTAGAATTGCCGAACGAGGCTGATGCCAGGGGAGGGAGTGTGTGATGGATTGATTGGCAGAAGACGACGTGAGTGGAAGTGGCGGAAAAGACGCGTCGGTGGTAGTCGTGGGGAAGGAGGGAGACGCGACTGACGCGAATTGCTAAAGTGCCCCAAGCCCTTCCCTGCACGTGATGCCGCACAGCTGGCGAATGATCAGGGTTAGGGCCTGCGCGATGCAATGAATCTGTCTCGAGTCTGTCTGGACTCGAGGAAGAGATATTGAATTAAACTGCCTTGACCTTTTAATTTTTAATCCGATGTCAAGGGCAATTGTTCTTGGGATATGGGATATTATTCGAGACCGCCTCGGTTTTATCCAATATTCACACCAACTATTCGACGTTATGGGAGGCCATCTTCGCTTTGACACACGGGTTATACTTTCGTGCAGACTCGTCGGGTGGTTTCAAAGACGCAACAACGCAACAATTGGTACTTCGTCCAGCTGGTTGAAGGTCCGAAACTCTGGTCAACTCCACCATCATTTCGCGAGTTGGTCTCGTGACGGCGTTCCAATTATCGTTGTGGTTACGGCCGGGCCTGCCCAGCAACTGCATCACATGTGATCTATCGTTGGAGTGTGCGAAATGGTCTTTTAGTCTTGAGGGAGATAGGGGACGGAACGCCAACGCCAGCCGCGGCGGCACTGGATGGTTTGACACAGGCTGACTCAAGGCCGCTGACAGGAAGTTGGGAGCGTGCCAGATCGGAAAGGGGAAGATCTTCATTGGGTCCCCGCAACCAGGCACTGCCTGCAAAACTGCAGCCCCTGATTGGTACCTTCCCCACAGACCAGGGGACCGCAGCTGATGGAATTGTCACGGATTCCCAGGGGATTTCCGGGTTTTTGTCACACACGTGTTCTCCCAGGGTTCTCTTCTGCGATCTCTGGCTGTGTTCGTTTGGTGATAATAATTCTGTCCTTCGTTCAACCCAGACAAAACTGACCTCGACTTGTCGTTTTTCGGGCTGTTTTTGCTCGCAAGCGCGTTTTCTTGCAACGCACTGCAACAACATCGTCACATTCAGCTTTCGGTTCACCCCGATCGGCTTAATGGCGGTTGACGTCACATTGCTTCGGAACCGTATCGGCATCTGCGAAGGCCATCCTCCAAACCCCCTGAGATTGCGATCGGGATCTCGACCTCGCCCCTGGCAACTTCAGACGAGGCCAACATAAGGACGAACGAACAAGAACTCCCAACCAACCTCGCAGCCGACCAAACCTCGGACCAAACCTCGGACGAGCCATGGTCCGGCCCAGCGACGCCCCATTCCGCCCGATTCCCCTCCTCGCCAACCCCAAAGCAACCACAACCACGACGAACGACGGACGAGTACCCCAACCAACCCCAACCGCCCCTCCTACCGCAGCTCCCAGCCCGCCCCGCGAGCCCTCCTCCCCCCCCTCCAAACCCACCGCCTACCCCCCGCCTCACACCCTCCTTCGCCTCCCTCCCCAGCAGCAGCGACCTCCTCTCCCCGCGCCCGCCCCTCGCGCGCCGCACCACCGCCACAAGCACCACCACGACCGCCACCATGCGCTCGCGCAGCCCCACCCACACGACGGCCGCCGCCGCCCGCGCTGAGGCTAGCCGCAAATACACGCTCTCGGCCATCTTCCTCGTCGTCTCCCTCGTCTCCTTCACCGCGCAGACCATCCTCGCCTCGCACATCCAGCACGACCTCGGCTGGGACAAGGCCTACTGCATGCTGTACCTGACCCACGGCTCCTGGGCGCTGCTGTGGCCGCTGCAGCTGCTGGTGCTGCGGACGCAGCGCCCGGGGCGGGACCGCTCGTGGGGGCGGTTCTGGGACGGGCATTTGAGGACGGTACGGGGCATTGCGCTGGTGGTGGAGACGCGGGATGTCAAGGCTGGTGTGCATGCCGCGCAGCATGGGGGCGGGTTGTTGGAGTATGGGCACTCGCCGTGGCCGTATTTGGGGAAGACCACGGCCGTGATCACGTCGGCGTTGACGGTGGCCGGGCTGTCGTGGTATTTGGCTGTGTCGATGACCACGCCGAGCGATCTGACGGCGATTTATAACTGCAGCGCGTTTTTTGCGTATGCGTTTTCCGTACCGTTGCTGAAGGAGAAGTTGCGGGCGGATAAGATGTTGGCGGTGGCGGTGGCTATTGTGGGCGTGTTGGTGGTTGCGTATGGGGATGGTGCTGGGGATGGGTCGTCGGAGGAGGCGTCGGCCGTGCCCGGGGGTGGTGGGGTCGTGGTCGATCCTGGGACGAGGTTTGCCGGGAAACATGATCATCGGCGTGGGGTCGGTGTTGTACGGGTTGTACGAAGTGCTGTACAAGCGGTTTGCGTGCCCGCCCGACGGGATGGACGCCACCAAGGGGGTCATCTTCGCGAACACCTTTGGGAGTCTCATGGGGGCCTTCACGCTGTTTGTGCTGTGGATCCCGATACCGGTGCTGCACGTCCTGGGGTGGGAGACGTTCGTGATACCCACGGGCGAGACGGCGTGGCTTCTGTTCATCAGCGTCATCATGAACATGCTGTTCTCGGGCTCGTTCCTCGTGCTCATTTCGCTGACCAGCCCCGTGCTCAGCTCGGTGGCGTCGCTGCTGACCATCTTTATGGTTGCCATTGTCGACTGGTTCGTGACGGGTACACCGCTGAGCGGGGCGGCCATGTTTGGCGGGCTGTTGATCGTCATCGCGTTTGCCATGCTCAGCTGGAGCACGTGGCGCGAGATGAATGAGGAGGAGCATAGGAAGCAGGTCGACTTGAGCGGTGACGAGGACGATTAGTGGCTGCGCCCGACGTCGCTGCTCAGGTATATGACGGCCAGGGGGGTTATTCAGGACGGGAGGTCTGGTTTTGGCCTAGAATACAAGAACATATAGAGACGGGGCAGCCCAAGTAATGGCTTATAGAACAGACAGACCACGGGTGAGGTCTTACACTGCGGCAATCGGCCTTTGCAACTTGTATTCATGCCCGTTGATCGGTTTGCCCACAAGTTGTATGCCCCCTGGGATACGACAGAAATACTTATTAATTCACCAACGACGAGAGCAAGACAACTTTCAAGGAACTTATTAATGGTCCGCCTCTCCCCCGAGTTCTCGCTGTCGACCATAACCGAATCGCAATCTGCTCTCTGGCTCTGCTCACGAGGAAAGGGCTGTGAAATGAAACGGATGCTAAAATTAAACAACAAACTACTCAGCGTTAACTACTGTAGTTATTTTTGTATATTTTTTTCGTCTGCCTTAGCGGCGGAAAGGAATCCATGAACTCCTGGATGTCTTTTGTTCCGCCAAAACGCCGACGCTCCGGCGGACAGCGTCCCTCAACAGTGCCATCCCTTTCTCCATGACTTGGTTCTTCTCCAGAAGTTGTTGGTATTCCCGGTCCCTATTGTCAGCTTCCGCTCTGGCCCTGTCCGCGTCCACCCGCGCCCTCTCTGCGTCGGCTCTTGCGCTGTCGGTTTCCCGCCTCGCCACTTCAACCTTCTGCTCCAGCTCCGTCATCATCCCGTTCGCCACCCTAGGGTCGATGCCACCCTCGCTTACCATGGTCTGAAGCCTCTGCAGGTCTTTGATGATCCGTTCGCTCCTCTCCATGCTGGCAGCCACATCCGTCTTCAGCTGACCCATCCACCGCATGAGGCCAGTAATCCCAACCTCCAGCTCCCGCGCGAGCGCGAGCTCTTCCGCATGCGCCGCGGTACATGTAACAAGCTCGCTCCCGGCCGCATCATCATCCCCTGGAGCCCGCCTCCCCCGCCAAATCCTTCCCACCCCCCGCCCGCATCACCACCACCACCACCCCCAACAACACCACCACCACCACCTACCGTCGTCCTCCTCCTTCCCAGCCGCCGGCCCTCATCCGGAAAGTAACCCCCGAGATCCAGCCCCGAGCCCGGGGAAAAGCCTCTTCGACCTTCCCCCTCCGTCTACACCCACAACACCTCCACCTCACGACAGATGCGTGTCCGTTACCACCACCATCACCACCATACCCCCCCACATCCAACAATCGACGATGCCTCGGCTCGCGCCACTCCGCAAGATCGGCATCAAAGGGCGGGCCGGCCGCGCGCGCGTGGTAGATCCAGTAGAGGGCGGCGTAGCGGGCAAAGGCGTGGGCAAGCACGCGGTCATCGACCTTGTCGAGCCAGGCGTCGCGGTCGTCGGCGTTGTCGGCGTAGGCGGTGCCGGGGTTGGCCAGGGCCGGCTGCAACAGGTAGTCGGCGCAGAGGAGGCTGATGTTGCGGTTGGCGTGCGGGGGGTGGGTGTGGTAGGAGGCGTGGTGGGTGTGGAGGGGTGGTGGTCGGGGGCTGCGCAGGTATTCCTGCAGGGAGCGGTGGACGGCGCCGATGCGCTTGTCCGGGCCGATGCGGGCCAGGGGCGCGCAGCGGTCGAGGACCGCCCGCCCCATGTTGCGGTGGCGCGAGAGGAAGGCCTGGATGCCGGCGTCGCCTACGTCGACTTCGAACCAGGTCGCGTCTCGGACGTCTTCGGCGGCTTCGTTGACCAGGGCGCAGGCGATCTGCAGTTCTCTCTCCGTCATGGGTTCGGCCTGGTAGGTCAGCCAGAAGATGACAATGTTGGTGAAGTGCTTGTCTTCGTCCGCCTGTTTGGCGCTGGACTCGGAGAACTGCTTGAGATATTGGTCGAAGAGCGGGAAGATGCCGTGGGTAAGCTGTTTGCCCCTCGCTGCCTGTTGGCTGCCCGCTGGTGCTGCTCCTAGTTGTTTTATGGCTTCGGTGAGCGCGAGCCGGGCCCAGAGATACATGCCGTTGGCGCCGTCCTTGATCTGCTTCTCGACGTCGCGCGCAATGGCAGCGCCGTTGGGGTATCTCCTGACGACGGCTAGGACCTCCTGGGTGGTTCTGGCGATATCGGGGCTCGTGTCATCGGCCGTGATATCGTATCGGGAGAAATTGTAGCCCCAGAGCGCCGCCTCGACCCTTTCCTGGTTGCGGGAGAGGACTAATACTCGGACCCTGCCGCTGTTGAGGGTCGGGAGGTCGTGGGCCGTTCAGGGTCCGGATCAATTACACTCCCATCAATGTCACCAGCCCGTTGCAGTGTAATTGCACCTTACGTAAGCGAAGCCACATTGAATTGATCCACGGAAGGCACTCGTTGAAATGGATGCAACATGTTGAAATTGGTGGGGCCGAACTGTGGGCCCCGTTGTGGGGCAATAACCTAACCCAAAATGGGAGAAGTGGGTCCAAATTTCCATACAAATCCCTAACCCTAGCTATCATCAATCATCTTCCATGTGTCCGTGTGTCTTCCATGACAGTATTGGATCGAGATCATCAATCACGCCGGCATCGTACCAGCTGCGGAGGATCTGACAGAGAGATATTGTGTTCGCCTGTAGCCGGTTGCGTAAAGGAGTAACCATATGGCCAGTAACGCTGAACAAGCGCTCAACTTCGGCGCTCATAGGAAGCACCGTGTGTAGATCCAACGCCATGCGCGCAAGCCGTGGGTAGGTGTTCCTTCTCTTGTGCCAGTAGGCACGGGGATCCTCCTCGTACCGATCAAAGTCGCTATTATCTAGTTGCCAACGCTCAAACTCGTCAAGTTCGACCAGCGCTGGCGATGGAAAGGGTGAAGGAGAGGTGGGTGCTGAGTTTGTTGGAGTTCGCTCCTGGGTTCTGAAGATTGCGAACCTGTTGCTCGAGAGGCGGGGGATTTTCGTGGGTGGTTCTGAAGCCTCTTTCTGCTCGACTGGTAGGTCTCGGTATTGTTGCCTCCAGAGTTCTCGGACTTGTAACTTCGCTGGCTCGATCCAGTCAGCGTGATGCTCACGCCACGCCTCGAACCTACCCCATCGGTGCCGAGGGTGCAATGCGGTGGCAGCGTAGATGAGAGGAGACTGGCCGATCTTCTCGTAGTATTTGTCGAGCTTCATCCATGCGTTGTTGACGTTAATAGCGACGTGTTCGCCGTCAACGAGGTCTTCAACTCTCGCCTTCGCTCTCTCGAGAGACTCAAGGAGGAACTCGTACCCATCGAGAAGATCCCAGCTTGCTCCCTGTACTAGACTGATCGGCTCATTCGCAGGAGCTGCGCTTCTTCTCACGAGGTTGACCGTCGCCCTGAAGAGCTTTCACAACGAGCTCAAAGTCGAGAAGGATCTCTTTCAACACAGAGATGACCTCCCAGTCGTTCGCGGTCAACTTGTTCTCCTCATTTAAGAAGAGCGGCTCCTTCGCGTCCTTTCTTTAGAGTGCCTGCTGTCGTCCGGAACTGCGAGTCAACGTGAAGCTTCGCCTCAAAGAGGAAGGTCTCGTAGAAAGGCTGGAGTTGAAGAGCGCGTTCCATCATGAAGTACTGAGAGAGCCACCGCGTAGCGTTGTCTGTCACCACTCCGACCGGCGTGTGTTTCTTGATCTTCTCACCTTCGGAGGCTTCTCGGATCCGTTGCTCTTGCGCCGAGATGAGCTTCTTGCGTCCAGAGGTCTGACCTGTTGACCTCCTTCTCACGGTCAGTGATAGGTAGGTTGACAAGGCGAGATGCACATACCTGACAGAAGTTATGAAGCTTACCAATGGGGCCTTTCCTCCTCCATTGCTCATGCTCATGTTGAGTAGTGAGTAGGCTAGTAGAGACTTCTCGCTCAAAGGCATCACATTCTACACCAAAGAGTAGTGCTCTAACTACTAGGTTGATGATGGCCGAAGCATCGAACTCTCCTCTCTTTCCACTGGAAGCCGAGCTTCTCACCGATTATTTTCAACGCGGCGTCGTTATTTGTAGCGTTGTCGACAGTGAAGTAGCCAATCTTCTTTTCAATACCATAGTTTCTAATAACATCGAGGATGGCCTCCGCGATGTTCTCACCCGTATGCCGGTCACTCATCTCTGGCAGACCGAGCACAATCTTGTGAGGCGTGCCCTCTTCGTCTCGGAAGACTGCGCTCACGCCGTAGAGAGAGAGGCGGTTGCGTGAAGTCCATCCATCGAAGACTAGATGAACCAGCCCGGGGCTCTCCTGGAGCGTCTTAACCACCGCATCCTTATGCCGCTCAACCTCTCGTACAGCGAGGGCGTGAACAGTCTTCTCGGAGAGGTTGGCTTTCTTGAATGTCGACAGAGGGGTTGAGGTAGGAGAAGACATACGCGAAAAGATAAGGGTGTTCAGCTGTGCGGAAAGGAAGATTGGCGCTGATGAGCCATCTTACAATCCTTCGTTGAAACTCAGCTCTATCGAACGCGCTGATCAAGTGGTTGGCCATCCTCTGATCTTCGGCGTTGTTCGCATTGAGATTGAAGAAGGTGGCGATGGATCTCGAATTGCTGCTCTCGCGTTGGGGCTTGACGGCAGAAGGCGGCGGTCGCTTACCGGTAGGATCGCTAAGCTGGTGAGAGTTAAAGAGATGAATCTCGACGTTCACAAGATTTCGTGGGTTATAGGCGGCTGGCTTCCGGGTTGCGTTGTTGGATACATCGAAGGCATACCCATACACGGTCTTTGCCGTCGCGTGAAATATCATACCCGAATTTCCATACCCACGACCACGCTGGCCCCTTGCGTTCAGTGAATAGGTAGCCGGGAAATCGCTTGAAGAGAAAGGCCAGGTCTTCTTCAGTACGTGTAGGAACCGCGGCGACGGCAGCAGATGCTTCTGTAGCCATTATGGTGGCAGGTAGGCCAGAATGCCGAGCTCGTCAGAGCTTGAGCTGCGAATTGACTGGGATTAGGGCGGTGGGAGTTCTGCCGATGCCCTGACCGCTTCATGTTAGTGTTCACCATACAAATTACTATTAATCACTATCACCTGCTAAGAAGGACCCACTATTCTGCAATGTCTGCAATAATGGATCCACGTTGCAGAGGGCCAGGTTGAATTGCAGGGGTTTTGGAAGCCTTCAGTTGCATTGATTTATGTGGGGCGTTGCAGCTGCAATTCAACTGCAATGTGTATTTCCGTGTAATTGCTCCGGACCCTGCACACCGACGACGGTTCAAACGCAGAGCAGTTGTTGGAAGATCAACTCGCTCCGGTGGACATCACTCCAACAAGAAAGAGAAAGAAGCAAACTTCTCCGGAGCCGATCCGAAGCAAAAGGTCTACAGCGGGAAAAAAGAGGGCGCGACTGTACGATTAGACGCTAGTCTGACTGGAGAAACCACCTTTCCTTACTTTCCCAGCATTCGTCAATAACCATCATGAAATGGAGAAAAAAAGACAATTACATCGTTGACTCCGCTATGGGGCCTACCTGCAGCCGGCAAGTTCCTCCAGGCTCCTTTGGCGTGCCCGCGCGCAGCGGGACGGTCAATCCTGTTGCCATTATAAGGCCATGCCCGGAAACTCAAATCAAAAAAAGGACATAGCCTGCTTAGCATAGTGGCTAATGCGTTGCACTTGTATCCATCGACGACATGCAAAGATCACAGGTTCGATTCCTGTAGTAGGCATTTATTTTTCATTCATCGGTCCACCCAGCCGCCCCTCTTTTTGCCCCTAAAAACCCTCCTCCACTTGCCCCTGAATTCCCCCACCCGCACCATCTAGCCCAACTCCCGCCTCGCAGCTCACCAAATCCCTTTCTCGCGGCACCCTCTCTCATAGTCCACCATCATCGCCCACTCACGATTCAGATATTCCTCGGCGATCGGTGGCGACGCATCCCTCACCCGCGGTGGCTCAGGCCGCAGACGGCGTGCAGGTTGGCGGCCTTGACGACGGCGCCTGGGGTGTGGGACCGTAGCACGACACGCCTGGATTGGCGGCGCTTCGGCGTGACGTCCGTCCTCGTCCTCGTCCTCGTCGACGCGCTGCGCTGACTCGGGAATGACTTCATCGAGCTCCTGTTCGACGCGCCCCTTGCCCATGATGTGGACCTGCCGGATCCTGACGCACCCCGGGCTGAACTGGGAGAACGTTTTTGCGACGGTCTCGCTGAGATGCCCGTCGACCGTCGCCCAGTCGCGCCGGTGGTGCGCCGGGTTGCGCGGGACGCTGCGGTAGGGCATCGAGGCGTTGAAGGTCTGCGTCCAGAGCAGGGATTCCTTGTTGTTGCTGTGGATGTAGTCTTCGACACGGCGGTCGGCTAAGGCCAGGGTGGGACCGAACAGGACTTCGTTCGGCGGCCATCCCCTCCAGTCCCGTTCGTCTGACATGAACATGGCTTTCTGCCAAGTATACGGGTCGAGGTGCAGTAGGGGCAGGATCAACGTGTCGAACTGTCCCCAGTAGCTCACTAGCTCCTCGCTGTAACCGCCCATCAGCGCCGATGGGTGCGTGTGGCAATAATACGGGTTCAAAGACCCGTCGTCGGGGTCCAAGACGTGTATCTCGCCCTCTCCTGGGCCGTAGTCTGGGACCATGAGGCGCAAGGCCGCCTCGCCAATGTCGGCCTTGTCCTTCCAGGTCGTAGGCTGCGGCAGATCGGGATTTTCATCGAGGCCAAGCTCATCGGAGCGGTCGTTTTTGCCCTGGAACGAGAGGCCAAAGTCAGCGATGATGATCTGTGGCAAGTACTCGTCGAACTGCTCCAATCGCGGGTCGGCCAGCTTTTCCTCGTCGGTCGGGAAGTGGAGGAGGACGTTGTCGGCGTGCATGTCCTGGTGGCAGATGGGCTCCCATGTGTCAGGGGGCGGCTGAGGTGGGTGGGAGGGATCTTCGCGCCCGAGGTTTTCGTCCCGCGAAGGAATGTGCCCCGTATGGAGCCACGAGACCGCACGGCAGAGCTGGGCGATGACGTGCCAGATGAAGCCTTCTGGTACCCGCTTGCCAGCCCTGGCGTACTTCCGGATGAAGCTCTTCAGCGTTCCTCCGTTGTAGTACTTGTAGAAGAGCGTGATGTCCTCTTCCGGCTTGACCGGCTGGGACCCCGGCGTCCGCTTGTGGATCTGGAACGCGTGCAGCTGGGGGAACGGCGTAAGGCCCATGTTTTCGTGATACAGAGGCAGCTGCCGCTGGACAGCAGCATCCCGCGGACTCAGCGAGCTTTGTTCAATCTCGGACGGCACCGGTTGATACCGGTTCTGGAGCTGACCTCGCCTGATGATCTGGGATAGCTTCTTGATGATGACCAGCTCCTGCGGGCAGTCGATACTTGCGAAGACCCCTACACTGCCCGAAGTTGGCAAGGCGCTCTCGGGTGGTTGGATCCAATGGACAAGGACGAAGCCTTGGCGTCGTGCTTGCAAGTACTGGGCGGACTCATTCCCATTGTCGTTCGCGAGATGGAGCCGTTCCTGGATTTCGGGAACTTCTAGCGGATAGAAGACGAGCCCGTGGTGGGTGTACCTGAATTCTGGGTGCGAGGACATCGTACGTATCGGCTGGAGGCTCTCGAGATGAGGTGGGCTGTAGCAGATGCTCGGTTGTGACAGAGTCTGATTGCCATCCTGCCTGGGAACCTGAACGACTTCAAAAGCATGACGTTTCTTTGTTCGAAAGGCGCTAGCCTACCATGCCGGCTTCGAGTCCTGACAAAGACGCTGCCCGGAAGCGTAAGTTGTGAGGGACCGTCTCAATCCAATAAAGGGATTTCTTGTCCAAAGTACATGTAGGAGTTTCATTCGAACCATGAGGCCTTCACCTTCAATTTCGGAATCAAAACGACTCCGATAGTGCCCAATCTCGAATCTGATCAGTTTGCCGCCCACGCGATGCCAAGCCTCATACCGTTTAACGGGTTAGGTAGGTAGGTAGTCTTGGTAAATAGGCAAGCCACCTCGTTCTGTAGTCTAATACCCGTATCTGGACAACGTTGAGCAGGTCTAGGCTGGACCGTACAGCGATGAAATGAAGGCACTTCGCCACTTCCGGGTAGGCCCGTCCCCTGTTCCGGTTTCCGCGTACGCGTCTGTCCAGGTAAGGCATAATTCCTCTAATTTAACCTTCGTGGTTCGTCATGGCTCTCGGTCCCCGTTTTCCGCACTGCTGCCAATCTGCTACAGCTAGCTAGCTATAGCCGGTTCAATGATCAAGCTGCTCATGATCTTCACCCAAACATAATCCTTTGCGGATCCCTGCTTATGTCCGGATTTGGCAAGCCCGTGTACCTGGTACCACAACGCCCCCTTTCGGGCAGTTTTGCCGTCGATCCCCAAATCCTCCCATGTCCAGCTCGGCCACGCCATCACTTGTGATTGGACGACGGCCAACATAAGATTCTGATGGGGCTTTGCAAGGTTGGGCACACTGGCGGCGAGACGTCATTTGAGGCTGGCTCCAGGGGATTTCAGGCTGTGCTTGGAGTGTTGTCTTGGCCAGCGCTGCGTTTGTCCATCTAGGGCAATAGACAGCAGATCCACAAAATAGTCAACAACAGCTCACATAGCTATGGCTTGTATAAAGTCCATGTGTCGTTCAAGATGGAACCACATTCTGTATCTCTCATCACTCACGTTCACCGTTCGCTAGCAACTCTTCCGAATACACCAAACTCCACGCATCGCCATTTTCCATGACCATGACACTCACAAGCCTCTTCACCGGGCTTGCATTGGCCTCGGGCGCCTGGGCTGTACCTCTGTACAGCCGTGAAAACACTTCCGGGATCAACTGGGGACCATGCAATTTTGAGAGCGCTACGAAGGGCCCTATCGAATGCGCAACGTTTGCTGTGCCTCTCGACTACACTGATGCCGAATCGACCGAAACCCTCAAGCTCTCTTTAATCAAGAGCCCGTCGCGTAGCAACACCACGTCCGTCAAGAAGAGCATCCTGTTCAACTTTGGAGGTCCGGGTTACGGGGCCGTTTCCTCCCTGAACAGCGGGGCCGACGCGTTCCACTTGTATGTGCTGCTCGGTATCCTCCAAATAATAACCGGAGTGATAGTAGACTGACCGTAACCTAGCATGACCGGGGGCCAGCATGATCTGATCGCGTTCGACCCTCGGTAATTCCCCCTTTTCCCGCCCAAACCACGCTCAGTTTTGCTGACATCTTGTTCAGGGGCACCGAGAAGACAATCACTTTTTCGTGCTTCGACACCCCGGCGGAAAGGGAGATAGCCGGGCTCAAATTCCCCTACCTGCCTGTTGACGCCCATGAGACCGCCCTGGCCGAGACCTATGCTGGTGCGCAGGCAACCAGCAACATCTGCCGCGAGAAATACAAAGGGAACCACAACCCCGAGTTTATCGGCACCGCGTTTGTGGCCAGGGACTTGATGAGCGTCGTTGATGCGCTTGACGAAGATGGCTTGTTGAGGTTCTGGGGTGAGTTCGAACTGGCTTTGTACGCGACCTGACACGTTGACTAAATCGAACCGCCCAGGCATGTCCTACGGCTCCCTCCTAGGAGCCACAGTCGCGGCCATGTTCCCCGACCGCATGGACCGCCTAGTCCTCGACGGCGTTGTAAATGCCCACAACTACTATCACCACCTCGGCATCGATATCGACCAGTTCCTGACGGCCGATTCCGGCTTCCGGGCCATCCTGGCCGCGTGCATCGAAGCCGGCCCCGACAAGTGTGCTCTCGCCTCGCTCACCTCCGACGCCGCCGAACTGGAAGCCACCCTCCTCGGCGTGGCCGACAAGTACGGCAAGAACCCCGTCGCGGTCGGCACCACCGTCATCAACTCGCGCATGGTCAGGGAGCTCTTCTTCATCGTGATCAAGTACACCGGCGGCATCGCCACGGCGGCAACCCACCTCACCAACCTGGTCACCGGCACCAACCTGACCGAAGTGGCAGCCTACTACGATGGGCTCCTCGGCGGGGTGTCGGTCGACAACGACTCCATGATGGGCATCAAGTGCTCCGACACGTTCCCGCGCGCCGAGTCCATCGAGGACATCAAGCCGGATGTCGAGCACATGCTGCAGACGAGCGAGATCTTTGCGCCCTTGCTCGCCAGCGTTGCCGCCCAGTGCGCCAACTGGCCGTGGGAAGCCAAGGAGCGCTATGGCGGGCCCTGGGAGGGCATCAAGACCAAGAACCCCGTCTTGTGGTTCGGTAACACCTACGACCCGGCCACGCCGCTAGCGAGTGCGAAGAATATGAGTGCCGGGTTTGAGGGTAGTGTCGTGGTTGAGCAGCGTGGCTTCGGGGTACGTTTTCTTGCGCGATCACTGTAACCCTACCCGGTGAAGGATGATGGCTAACACTGATGGTTACAGCACGCCACGCTTTCCCAGATGTCTAACTGCACCGCCAAGATCATGTCGGGGTACTTCAACCTCGGAACTCTGCCCGCCGATGGCACGGTTTGTGAGGTTAACGATCCCCTGTTCAAGTGATATCTTGGTTGGTGGGTGTGGTGGAGGGCTTCGGGGGTTTCTTTTCTCAGAGCTTTAGGTTTTCCAAGAGCTTCATTGTTTAAATAGTAGACAACCGGGTATAACTGGACTAGACCGACTGGACATCATTCCTTCAACCATTTTATTACGTAGCGTACTAGAAATTCGTCACACTGTGTCATTATCTCTAGAGCTAAATGCTGTCTCATTGGTCTGTTAGAGGTAGAGCTTGCATCATCCCAGCTATCACATCCATATTGACAGCGGGTTTCTTCCCCAGCGCTTTGTTGGGTAGCCATTCTAAGTCGAAGTGGTCGCAGAAGGTTGCGGGGGGTTGCCAGGGAGAGTGTCGAGCCCTGTTCAAATGAGGATTAGTTATCAAGGCCAAATCATGATTCCCGTGTTAGAAACTTACAGCCGTCATAGTTCTCGCCCACCACTTCCGCCACCTTGCACTTGGCCGCTTTTTCCACCGTTTGCGTCGCAATACCGGGACAGTTTGCCGCAATGCATCCAGCATCCATAGCCCGTTGCAGCGCATCTCCCTTCCACCCAAATACGTAATCAGCATGCTGGCTATACCCGGTCCGATCACCGGTACTCAAGACAAATGGCTGCGATCCGTCTTCGGGCCACTCGTTGGGGTCATTGAACCCCGATGTGTCCCAGACGATCTCGTACATGACCTGCGGGATCTTGACGGGGTGCGAGTCTGGGCACGTCTCGGCGGTACCGATGCCGTCAAACACATGCGGCCCTTCCACGGGGTACGCGACGTGGGCCGTGTGGTCGGGACTGTCTAGGTTCTTGCCGTCCCAGCAGCTGGGTAACATGGTCAGCGAACTGTGGACGTGATAGGAAGGTCCTGAGGATAACTTACGTTGGGAAGATAACGTTGGTTCGGATACCGTGACAGGGACGGTTAGGGAGGTGTTGAGTATCGACATTAGCATCCTGGCACGGCGCATAGTCGTCTCCCTCCCAGTTTGGCCCAGTGTAGCATCGGAAGCAGCTCTGCGTCGAAAGGTTCCAGCGGCCCTGGGGCTCAGAGCGTAAGGCGGCGTCGCCAACGAACATGCGAAAGCCGGGTTCAAAGGCCTTCACCTCACCCTTGCCAGGCGACACATAGTAGGCAATCATGCCGCCGTTGATCCGAGTCGTAAACTCGTCGTCGAAGAACAAGCGGTTCGGAATTTGAGGCACACGCTTGTAGCTCCCGTTGCGGGCTCTGAAATAGAGGTTGGACGTCCAGTAGTTGGAGAAGTCATCGCTATAGCTGCAGGTTGTGCAAGTCGACAGGTCGCTGATGTCGGACACTGGCATAGACGCATTGAAGGCGTCTCCGCCGACAATCTGGTGCTGGTGAGGCGAGGGAATGGAACCTGGGTTGACCAGTGGGTCGATGCGGTCAACAACAACCTGGTGGCAGCCAAATCGGAGCAGCGTGGGCCCCGTCCCGTTGTATGGTGGTATTCCTGGATACGAGAACGGGGGCTCTGATGGTGTTGGTTGTGGGGGATCAGCAGCATGGGCGGCTGCAGCCAGCCCAGCAACAGCCAAAGTAGCGATGGTCAAGGCCATGTTTGCTCTACAAGAGAGGGATATTAAAGGTAACCAGATATTCCGCAGGCACCAGTGGGAAACGGAGCAACTTATGCTGGAAGATCTTCCACCTCTGGGCCCCAAGAAAAGAAAATCATGATGCTTATGAGCCCCCATAACCCGGTTTGCCTCCGCACCGGTCACCGGGGACTGCTAGCGGCCAAGAAAATCGCTATTAAACCCGCATGCAAGTCAATATGTTTACATTGTCACGGCAGAGAAGAGCCTATAGGGGGCCGCTACCCAACCACTTCCTATCACTGGAATGCGACCTGTAGCGGGCATATATCTTTCCCATTGGCCTGATAAAAGCCAGTTACTGATCCGTGTTACCAGACCGGAATGAGATTGGCGCCTCCCCGGCTGCAGGCTGACATAGCAAAAAGAGGGATAAGAAGCAAATGGATGGATGAAGGAAAGAAGCCCCTGTTTGTCCCAAGTTACCATATGAATGCAGGATAAGCTTTATCTCATTCAGAAAAGCATTGCCTCCAGGAAACAGGAAATATCGAGGTGGCCGGACGTGCATAGCCGTTTAGGGGTTCTAACCGGATATACTGCAGCCCCTCCCCCCTTCCCTGCACCGAAACGCGGGCAGTGATTAAAGAACGAATAGAAGCTCCAAGTCTAGGCAAAGTCATACGAGGACAGCCAAGTTTGGAGACGATGCCCGCCTGCGCCTCCCGGGTGCTCCCGTCCCGAACCTTGGCTTCAGCCGGAAGATCCGGCGGCTGTTTGGCGGCGTAGCCGCTACAGCTCTATGCGGTCCAACCCTAAATTAGGAGCAGGGCGCTTAACCAGCGGCCGCGAGGAGGCCTAGGCTGCTGAGAGGAGGCTGACTGATGTCCAACATTAGCTCTAGACGCGGCCTGAAACGCGCGTCGGAATGAGAGCGAAACTGCGATATGAGAGCGGGATTTCCTTTCAAGCCGAAGGTTACATGCAAAACAGCAGCCGTTCATCTGGGCTGTACGCGGCTGGTACAGGGAACTCGGTTTCATGATTTTTGTCTTGTTAGAAAACACGCTGCACCGCGTAGATGGTAGGGCCAAAGGGGTAAGGCATATCGGCTTAGGATTTTAGCGCTTTCGTAACCCATTGAAGTAGAGAATGAGCATCAATCCATGTTTGGTTGTTGATATTGTGCTTGTACTGTATGAACAAGATCGAACCCGAAACGAGGCCGAAGAGAAAGGAAGAAAAAGAGAGGAAAACTAAGAAAGAGAAAAGAGAGGAAAAGTCAAATAACTACCATCTAGGTCTAAACTTGAAGATGTAAGGAAATCACAAGAGGAAAAGAATTCACAATAAAGGCCAACCCATCCTAGATCTCATCCCATCCCAAACAAAAAGACCTTCCTTCCATCAACACCAGGGACCAAACTGTAGTAATAACACAAACAGAGAGGAGAGGCCAACCTCAAATCAAGAATCAAAAATAGCCCCATACGCCGGCATCCCCCTCGCTTCCAACCCATACACCACCTTCCTCGTAACCCTCTGATTTCGAGATCACCACCGCCGCCTCCGCCCTCTTTCCTCCCCCC